GGAGGAAAGAGAGAGAGGATCTGGCGGGGGGAGGCAGAGGGGAGGTGGGTGGAGGCAGAGCGGAGGTGGGCGGAGGCCGTGGCGCACGTCTCTCTCTCTCTCTCTCTCTCTCTCTCTCTTGGAGAGGAGTTCGCGGGAGGAGATCACAGGAGGAGATGGCGGAAGGAGGCGGATGTGAGGTGGCGGAAGGGGGGGAGGAAAGAGAGAGGATCTCGCAGGGGGAGGCAGAGGGGAGGTGGGCACAGGCTAAGCGGAGGCGGGCGGAGGCCGAGGCCGAAGGCGGTGACGCAGGCCGCAATCTCTCGCTCTCTCTCACACACACACACACACACACACACACACACACACACGCACATAGGGGATAGGGAGGCGGAGGTGGAGAGGAGTTGACGGGAGGAGATGCAGGGAGGAGGCGGATGGGATGTGGCGGAGACGGGGAAGGAAAGAGAGAGGAGATGGTGGGGGGAGGCAGAGGGGAGGTGGGCGGAGACGGAGGGGAGGTGGGTAGAGACGGTGTCACCTCGGAGTACAGCCTTGCAAGTCACGGGTCGAGGGGGCGAAGTCAAAGGCCGTTCGACGCGAACAGGGCCATAGTGCCGTCGAACATACAATGGGCCAATGGCCAGCAGGTGTCGGGGCAGTTCTTTTACGACGGGCCCTCTTTTCAACGGCCGCGACGATCCAGGACGCCTGCAGTCCTACCGGGCCGATGGCTCGGTTCGTCCTCTGATCTTAAGACTTTAAGATCACACTACGATCCAGGCCGTCCGGTGAGGTGGACGACCTGGATCGTCGCGCGATTTTAAAGTCTTAAAGTCTTAAGATCGCACGGAAATCCAGACCGTCGTCCGGTAGACCGCGGGCGGCTGGAATCAGCCAAATCTCACGTACCGAATGGTGATTTCTATAACTGTAGGGATTAGTCGTCAGCGCTGGCCACAGTAGCGGTTAGCTAGAGGTAGTGAGAGTGGAAGCTGCAGTGGAGACTGCAGCGAGAAAGAGGCAGAGGCCAGACACTGGGACTTACCTGATGACTCACCTGGGGCGCTCCAGTACCGGCATCAAGGAAACACCTTTACGAGTTCAGTATCTGGTATCAGCAGAGAGAGAGAGAGAGAGAGAGAGAGAGAGAGAGAGAGAGAGAGAG